ACTTAGAAATAGCTAAGGCTAATCAAACTAAGTGGCTGGGCCAAGCAGAAAAAATATTGCAATAAAGTTACAGAATATATGGGGGGGAAAAAAAAAAACAGGACACGATTTCATTCACACACACACAGACACAGACACACATACAGAGAATGAAAAAGAAAAAAATGAATGTGCACACCTGCTTATGTTACATTTAGCAATGCAAATAAAATCTGTACAATTCCAAAGCAACCCCATTACAACTAACAACACCCGTCATTGCCTAAAATCTGAGAAAATCCTTCACCTGCTTTATTTTTTAGCAAGAACAGTTCATGCAAAGCACTCTTCTCCCCTGACAAGGGTAATGAACAGGACAATGAGATCTCCAAGGACCTTCAAAATAAATGCTCACTCGCTAGTAATGCTAGTCTCTCCTCATCGGGAACTGCTGGCTACAGTCGCTTCTTGGTGCTGGAGGTGTCACGCCGAGAGTTGATGGGTGAAGAAGTTGTGGCTAAGTACGGGAGGCAGTTGTCAGAGAAGGTCCTTAGACTGTTTGAAGAAACCTTAAGTCAAGAGAAGTTCTGCAGTCTGAGAGAAGAGTGGGAGATGAGTGAGGTTGAACCTGGCGATATTGTTCATATTACTGGTATGGCTATTTTTCATTTTTAACCTTAAATCATTGAACAGTCTAAGGCCCAGTTCAGACATTGTGCCTCTGCCATGCCAAACTAAATTCAGGAATTAAGTTCGAAAAAAGCACAGCAGCAGCACATGCAGTGTCTGAATCAAACTTTTGAATTAAGTTCCCCAAGCAATTAAGTTTGACAAGCTCTGCCGTGCTACATGACTGGAGCGATTCAAATATTTTGCTTCTGACACGCTAAACAAAATTCATAAATTACATTTATTTAATGTATTTTGGCGAGATTGCATTCCCACAGGGAGCTAGGAGGTGAATTGTTACAAGGCATCAGTAAATCCTGCATTTGGTTCAACTCTGACACAACGTCTGAATCAGAGTTGTTTTCCTGCTGTGCTAAAGTCAAACCAAATTGCAATTAAGTTCGGCATGGTGAAGCACAACGTTTGAACTGGGCCTAGTATGATTTTGATGGTACCTAACTCTTTACAGTTCTCTACAGCTGGAAGTAGTGCTACACTGTACTCCCACCAGATAGGATGCGATCCCTTTGCAGGCATTTAACCAATATCATGTTAAGCTCCTGTAACAGGTCACTGGTAACAATGTTTACTCCTGGGTAGCAGGGGTTTCATTAATGCTTTCAGTAGGAGGGCAACTGGTTTTCACAGATGGGAAAAATTATTTGAACAGAACTTCTTCATAAGAAAAACTTTCCAGTAGATGGTCAAACCAGGCAAGCAAAATCATCCTCTCAGCTGTCAATTTGCCCGGCCCCCGGCCCTTAATGAAAGCCCTGTAGTAGAGGTAGAGTAAAGTGTCCTGCCTAAGGACATAACACAGTAATCCTAACTAGAGTTAGAACTAAGACAACTTGACCAAGGTTTCAACATTTTAATGATTAAGCCTTTGCCACTCCCACACTTTGCCATCACCCTATAATTGAGCGCCATAAATTATGTTTCTCTTTTTAGCGTGCAAAGAAAATCAGTTTTCCAGGGGAAAGCTGTAGGTGGGATCTACTAGCCTGACCATCATTTCACTAGCCTGGATAAAATTTTGTCAGTGCTAGTACGAATAATTGATTAAAAATCAGAAAGAAATCTGTTCCTAATAGTGCTTCTAAATTTGAATTTTTCTCTAATTTTACCTTAAAAAACTTCACTTGACCATCAATTGGAGGATAGAATGAAGTAGCCAGACTGCAAAACCCCAACCTGGGCTATTGGACAACACATTCTTTGAATGCTACTTTTGGAATATTGATTTTTTCAGTCATACTTTGTAAACCATCCATAGATATTATTTTGTCATCTTTGATCAGCTTTTCCTCTTTCTCTCTTTACCATGAACTACCCCTGAAATACATCATGTAGCATCTTTTTTTATAATGTATCTTTTCTTGAAACCATCCACTCTTAATGCATTTCTTTTTACAGGGACTTTTGACTCCAGGACAGGCATGTGTATCCTTGACAACTCATCTGACCATTACCTTGTTGTCCACCCTGATACTTTAGTATCTGGAACTACTGTTTCCATGGCAACTAAGTGTTTGCGGCAAAGCATACTTAATGAGCGATTCCGAACTGAAGGCCAAAGTGAAGCCATGTTGATTGGAACACTTCTTCATGATTTGTTTGACCTAGCTATAGAATTTAATGGTGAGTATATTTCCAAGAATTATCCTCCAGACTTAAGTTCTTACTTATAACACATCCTAGTGGCGTTACATTGAATCTTTCTTTTAATCTTTTGTCCCTTTTTTTAAAACTATTTTATCAAACATCAGACTTGTTTTTTGATGCATAGTTCATAGTTTCATCATACTTCATTCCTGCAATATTTTTACTTCCAAGCTCAGTTTACCTAATCATTCATAGTGTAGTGAGGCTAGCAAATCTTGTTTGTAATTGGTCATCACATTGACAGCTACATGCATCAGTGATTAACATCATTCTCAGGGCTTGACACTAAGGTTTTACACCACTTTCCATTTTGGAAGGTAGATTTCAAATTTTACTTTCCATTTCAAATTTTACTTTCCACAATGGAGTGTGGTATCATAACTGCTAACCATGATAAATTTATTTAAAAAGTATTACCATATCTTATAGCATTGATATTTTTGGATATTTTTTAACAATCCTTAGTCATTAAAATTGGGGCCTCTCATCCTCATTCCACTAACCCACCACATTTGCAGTCCTAGTATGTTGTTGACAGAGGTATAATCAGCATAATTTGAAAAGTGGCAGATTTGATTGCACCACACCAGCACCATACCACATGTACCTGTATTTATCGTACCCAGACTTACATGTACTCAGCAGCTCTCTCAATACTCCAATATGGCAGATTGGTAAATGCTAGAATGGTCTAAACTCGTCCTTTTGCGGACAAAAAATCATTGTCAGATGGTTAAGTTTATCATTTGATTATTTTTATACACACGTTTTTTACTTAAGCCTTTTTAGCGTAAAAGTTACTTTCCAGCATAGCCCAAAATTTAATTTTAATTTGCTTCCCAGATTGGGTAAGAATTTTGGTTCATTTTCGATTTTTTACTTTCCAAGAAGTAAATTCACTTTCCAATAGAAACTAAAGTGTTATTGTCGAGCCCTGATTCTATATAAATATTATTGCATCTTCTGATTCAACTGTAAGTACGATTTTGACTTTTTAAATACACGGTACGACACCTCTTTCTCATTTTTCATTCCCACTTGCCCAATGGGCAGGGGCCCAGGCAAGTCATCGACCAACTAAACAAAAACAGGAAACTAAGACTTGCCCAAGGCAAGCAAAATTTGAATGCCACTTCTCAGAAGGGCAAGCTGGAATTCAAGGGTTTTTTTTAGCCCTGTTAATTCTACCTCTTAAGTCGCTGCATTGATCATGTTACTGTTATGATTTGTCTGAAGAATTCTCCCCTGATGCCCTTCTTAAGAGAGCTAGTGGACTTCTTCAGAAGCTCTCTTACTTAGATGACCTGTACAGCCTGGGACAGACAGAGAACTGGGCCATGGAGAAGCTCAAGGAGCATATTCCACTTCTCTGTGACTGGGCCAAGAAATTTGTGGCTCCTTTTCCCCACCCTGATGTTGGGGCCATAGATTTTAAGACCCCTGAATACCCACAAGAGGCTGAACAGCCCAGTGTGTGTGTTTCCACTTTGAGAGACATCGAAGAGAACATCTGGTCACCAAGATTTGGACTTAAGGGTAGGCAAATTTAATTTTGTTTGATGTTTCAAATTAGCGGACATCTGTTCGTAACCGTCTGAACAAGCTTCATTTTCCTTGAAAGTGTCTTTCACTAAACAATGTACATCGCCCAAGTTTGCAACAATCTTCTTATGCAGTGTGACTATCTTTGCTACAAGCCATCAAATAACACTCCAACAGCACTTACTCTAATTTATGTTCTGAGAAGAAAAAAAGCGAATCCATAACTTTTTTTTTTAAGAAGACATTACATGTATCACATTTACATCACCATTCTTGAAGTTTAAAGGAGCTACGTCACGGTTTGCACATCTTGAAAAGTTTAGCCTAGATTTATTTGTTTCTTCAATTTCGTTTGTAATCCGCGCTAATCTCCATCCTAAACCATCCTTGTTCCTTTATGGTTTATTATTATCTCTTTGGTGTTTGTCTGTCTTAGTAAACTACTATTTTCAAGTTTCATTCAATTTCAAGGTAACTTTGTATGTGGCCAGAATAACTCAAAATACCGTGACTGAGTTCCTTTAATCTGTGATCACACTAGACTCTCTCGTGGTTGATTTATGACGACCTCGCACATACATTCATACGTAGGACTATTTGATAAGATTGATTTGTGTTGATCTCTTTCTCCAGGGAAAATTGATGCCACTGTTGAAGTTAAAATTGACAGAAGACCTAAAATCAAACGACACAGACCTGATACAGGACACCAGGTGCAGACAAAAGTACTGCCATTAGAGCTGAAGACAGGAAAAATGTTCACCAAACTAGGTAAGGCCAAATGATAACTTCCCTTGTTAAAATTGCTGGAGGGCCAACAGATGTTACGTCAGGGGTCCCTTTCTCGAAAGTCCTGCTTTACGCACCCAATGCCATATGCTAAGATCTAAATCAAAGAAATAGTTGTGCGGGTTTTTCGTTTACTGATATTTTTATCGTTTGGATTTCAAAACCGGTTTTCGGTTGAGTGTCGTAAAACTAATACCAAAGTAATCACCCTGGCCAATCACAAAGGACAAGGGAAATCCAGTGAACCAAGCAAAACTTGAAGCAAGTAATCGTAGCTGAAGTGAGGCAAAGGACTTTACGTGTGCGAAAGAGTCACGATTGGTTTTACTCCCTAATTGGATGACAAAGTGGCGCGAGTCTTTTCAGACAATAGCTTAGCATAGTAAATACTAAGCCAAGGCAAATACGAATTACTTTCGACACTCAAGTGAAAACCACAGTGACTCTGACTATTATTCACAGTTGACATTTGATGCATTTGATTACTTTATTTATGAGTATAAAATCTTCAAGGAGTTTTACACGTTACTATTGGTCAGTACTAGTTCATTTTAGCACCACAAAGCATGTACCTCATAATTACACGCCATAAGCCTTTGACTTATGCTACGTGCTTCCTTTATCGAGATATGATACACGCGACCTTCACTGTACACTGTACGTCAGGAGTCTGAGCGCACGAAACTTCTTGGACTTTTTTATAAAAGGAAAAAGAAACCCAGCTGCGCCTGATGGTCCTCTATGCACTTCTCTCTTGAAAACGCGTATATAAATAAAACACGGGTTGCGTCGGCTTCGTTTGTTTATTTGCGAGCTGCAGTGTATTGCTTCCTTTATATACCTGTACCTTTTACATTACCAGGTTCAATTGAACACCGGGCGCAAGTGATCCTGTACACGCTACTCATGTCTGATCGCTACTCTCAAGCAGTTGAAGCAGGATTGTTGTTTTACATGAAATCAGCTCACATGCTCAGCGTGCCTGGCTTCCTCCAAGAGAAAAGGGCGCTGATCATGAAGAGGAATGAGGTTGCTCGGTACTTGACGCTTAACAGGGCAGGAGCTACTGGCACCATGCCTGGTTGGTACAATGTAACGTTTGTAATTGAAATAAACCAAAAGGACTCCTATCGTCAGTTTGGATGAAAGACTTTGTTGCTAACGCAAGCAACTCTAGGGCTCACGCAGTCATGAACAGGCCGTCACAGAAAGCTATGGGATTTTAAATTTACATTGCTGGCTTGGGAAAGTCATTCAATTTAACAACGTTTATTTAGCTACTAGAATGGTGTTGGAATGTCTGAATTTTGAACAATCTGTATGAAGTTATAATGATTTAAAATGAAGGAATGTAGAAAGCCTAAATTATCTCACCCATCAAGATGTCTTGTTAGTGAGCGGATGTTGTTGAATTAACTTGAGCTTACAACGAAGACAAAGATAGATCTATACTCTACTAAAAAAGAGTCCACTTCATCTCAAAAGCTCACGTCCGGCTCAAAAGAGTACTTCTAAGATTTCAAGGCCACACTGTCAGATCCAAGAACGCTTCCACTTCATATCTGCATTTCTGCTTGAAAAAGCTACTGCCGCCTCAAATCTTCATTTCCACATAACTGTAATTCCACCTCAAAATGCAGTTTTAATACAAAAACTTGTTCAGTCGAGAAACACAGGCAGCATCTGTAGAGACGGGAAAGATTTTTTCTGTTACATGTATAGTTTATTCTTATTTTTTTTTTCAAGCAATGTTAAGAGACCTCAACACCTGAAAGCGTTGTTCTCAAGCACAAAACTGCACAACCTTCCACAAAGCCACAGAACAAGGCGATGGCAAGACCAGTGGACTGGGGTCACTTTTTAACGAGAAGACAGACCATATGTCCAAAACCTATGTCAACTACTTCACGAACTGGTATAAACTGGTTTGTCTGGAAGGGAAGGAGATGGAGCAGAAAAGAAACCAAAGGGAAATTTGGTGTTTGGAAGGATTGGAGAGGGAAAAGCTGGGTCGTTGTTTTAGCAACATGGTCCTGAAGCCGCACGATCATGACTCGATGCTAGCCAATAGTCATTATTGCAGACACAATTTTGAGCGTTGCGTAAATCATCCCAGCGTGACACCGTTACAGGATGTGCCTATTGCTGTGGGAGAACGCGTGATTTTGAGTGAAGAGAACAATGGAGCTATAGCTCTTGCGGCAGGTGAGTCGAGTTGAACGCAGCCTTCATACCATCAGCCTTCATGCAAATTAGACAAGAAAGTAAAGAAAATCTTCTGGCTAGTTTTCCAGGCCTGGCAGTCAATCTGAGCAAGAACTCTAGAATAGGCTCGTTTTGATATATTTAAGCTATAACTTGACTCCAAGCCTAAAGGGAACAAAACAAACACATCAAGGTTGAGCGCACAGTTTGGCTCTTAACGCTATGTCTGGGAAATGAACGAAATGTTTTGAAACTTGTACAATAAAAAAAAAGACATTTGCAAACCCTGCATGCATGTAGTTATTACGAGTCAGCTTTAGTAGTGTTTGTTTGCTTGTAGCACGTGCCTCAGTAAAAGACAATAGGCCCTTTACACGATCCGGTCACATGGTAGAAAATCACACATGCTGGGACGCAAGTTGCACGGTGGGACTTCCAAAACAAAGCAACTCGCACCAGTCCACCTTGACCTGCCTTTGTTTTGAAAGTCCCGCGGTGCAACTTGCGTCCCAACATGTGTGATTTTGAACCGTGTGACCGGATCGTGCAAAGGGCCTATTGCCTTTTAGTATCAGCCAACTAGTGGACTAATGCAAATCCTGCATTTTAATTGGCTACGCTACTAGCGGGCTATTAGTAACAGTCCTCGAGTAGCGAAATTGGCGCAATCGAGCGTGACGCTTTCTTTCGTTTTATTCCCAAATAAATATTTCTTCAACTTGCATTTGCTAACTTTATCACTGCCTTTTCTGTCCGACTAGTTGGGTGACAATAAAACAATTAGACCCTTCGCCCTCAAGTACCACGGGTCAATAGCCCATTCGGCTTCGCCTCATGGGCTATTGACCCATAGCCCGCAAGGGCTACGGGTCTGATTGTAAAATAAACCCACATTGTGATGATTACAGATTTTGACTATGCCTTGGCTATTTCACGATACTAAAAGGGTTTTCTCATGTGAATGCAACGACATGTATCGTTCCATTACTGTGTAATTTATGTGATATTTTGGACCATCCACACAGGCTACATCCATGAAGTGAAAAAGACCCAAGTTGCAGTCTTACTAGACAGAGACTTAACTAAAAGGTAAATTAGTCACTGGAAATTGCTACTATCAACAATTTTACATAAAACACTTTTTGGAATAATGTGGTGGAAGAAATTCATGACCTGAGTGTTAAAACGGAGACCAAAGCAATTACAGTGGCTAACATAATCAAAGAATTAACCAATGAGAAATCGAAGCACGTAGATGGAACCTGCGCCAAGCGCGGGAAAATGTGCGTGACAATGTGTGCGTGACGATGTGTGCGTGACCAAGTTGCAGCTGGCTTTAGTTTTGCATCTGATTATTTGGGTAGATGGTACGAGTCACCTTCGTAACCAAACGGCAAACACTGTAGGAAAAAGTCAAAGCTATTACGGATAACTTAAGACACTCAAAGACGAACCAATGAATCACAGGTAACACTGAGTTTACACTTACACCTCAGATATGATGCACAGACCGAAGAAACAAGCTTCAAACTCTATCGCCTCGACAAAGACGAAGAGTACAGCACTCTCACTACACTGTGGTCCAACATGGCAAAACTGTTTAAGGGCGATTCTGACATAGATGCTCAGCTGCGTCGCCAAGTTGTCGACTTGGAGCCTCCGGTGTTTTCAAGGAAAAGAAGGAACGACACAGTGAGCATATCAAGCCAGACGTCAGATATCACAGAGTACTTCACGCAGCAGACACCGTGAGTTTCTTTGTTGTTGGTAAAATAAAGGAGATTGGCTCAACAGAGCTTTCAAATATTCCCAAACCGACAACTGTCTTGACCATCGCGGTTGGCGCATCTTGAAAAGTTTAGCCTGAATTTTTCGAGTTCGTCGTTTGTAATCCGTATTAATCTTCTCCATCCTTAACCATCCTTCTTTCTTTATGGTTTATTATTATCACTTTAGTGTTAGTGTTTTTCTATCTTTAGTTAGTAAAATGCTATTTTCAGGTTTTCTTCAATTTAAAGGAGATTTTGTACGTGGCCAAAATAACTCAAAATACCGTGACTGATCTCCTTTTAGGTCTTGTCCTTAAGTGGGGGAATGGTCCAGCAGAACATACGTACATCTGTGAGAATGTAGATCACGTATGGGATATTTTGCTGTGTAGTATCGCGTTTTGCTATCTAACTCCACCCTGAAGATTAGAAATAACTCACGAAATATTAAGTAATGATTAGTGACAAGAGTACAAATATCACAAGGTGTTGCCATAAAAATCGGTTTTAACATGCATCCCAATGAAGTGATGAAGACTGTAGGATTTGTTCCGGTTTAGAATAGGATCTTTCGCTTGCCCACTTTTCACGCCGAAAGTCGAGGAAGTTATGTCGCTGCAAAAGAAGCATCTTATTATTCAGGAATAATAAGAATAAGAAACATGTTATTATTCAGGTTGTACTAAATGCCTGGATTTAGAATTAGGACTGATCTTAAGCCATTTTCCTCTTCGTCTTCCCTAAGGCAAACGTGGATAATAGAACATAGTGCATTTAGTGTGTAGTATTGCTGTACAAATTAACTTGTCAATGGTATTTTCTTTCGTCTCAGTCTTGTGGTAATGCGTACACTTGTTCCTCTTCAGCGAGATTTAGGTTTTCTTGTGTGTTCTTTTAAGTTCCCAAAGCAGCAGAAGTCAGAAATCATTACCTGATCCAGCGGTGGAGTCTATCCTACAAGAGCTGAACTCAGGGCAGCAGAAGGCGGTGTCCAAAGCCCTGGCTGCTCATCACTATGCGCTGATCCTGGGCATGCCAGGCACAGGCAAGACCACCACCATCTCCTGCCTAGTCCGTGTGCTGGTGGCGAGCGGCAAATCTGTTCTGCTCACTAGTTATACTCACACTGCTGTAGACAACATTTTGCTGAAGCTCAAACAGGTAACTTATGTTCATCTCTGCTGTCAGCGCAGCTGGATGAACAAATTGGGTTTGATTTTTAAAAATTGGAATTTGATTTGGTTTCAAATTGGATTTGGTTTCTAATGCAGCGATGAAGGCTGAGCATTTGGTCCGGTTTAAAATAGGACGTTTTGCATCGCCATTTTTCCCAGTGAAAGCGAAGTTAGGTCGCTGCGAAAAAGTAGCTGCGCCAAGAAGCATTTTTTTACTCAGGCAGCGTCCACACTGCGCCGGAGAAATTTGAAAACGCAGCTTTATTTTTAAAGTTGACCTCCGTCCACACTAATCCGACACGAAAACGGATTTTTGGCGTTACGATAATCGTGTGATTTCCCTGCGCGAGTTTTCCTCAAACACAAATCCAAAATGACCGGTGATTGTTGCGTTTTTAAATTTTCTCCGGCGTCGTGTGGATGGAAAACATTTGATGCGTTTTCAGAGTGAAACCTCCGTTTTCAAATTCCTCCGGCGTAGTGTGGACAGGGCCTGAGGTTTTACTGGCTTTGGAGTATTAAGCCATTTCCTCTCCGTCTTACCTTCAGGCAAACGTGGATTTCCTCCGCCTTGGCCAGGTTCATAAAATTCTTCCCGAGCTACAGTCATATACTGCTCAAAGGGCTGCAGCAGGTATCAAGACTGTCAATGAACTAAGGCAATTATATGAATCCAAGGTAATGTTAATGAAAATTATTAAGCTTAATGTACTTACAATTTTTTCCTTCGGTCCATAAGCGAAATAACTGTGTACTGCCTTTATTCGTAGTCTGTAGTAGCGACCACGTGTTTGGGTGTGAAGCACGCCCTGTTCTCTCAGCGTACATTCGACTACTGTATAGTGGACGAGGCTTCTCAGATCACCCAGCCTGTGTGTATTGGTCCTCTTAGACACGCTCGTGTCTTCATCTTAGTGGGCGATCATTATCAGTTGCCGCCTTTGGTACAGAGTGTTGAAGCTAGGTGAGTTACCATTAGTGACAATTGGCACCACGGTTTTCAGCGAAAACCTCAAGCGGTAAATCGCTAGAAGTCACGTGACCAAGCACTTTGGTCACTTTCGGAGTTCTCAACGCGGGTTTTTAAAGCCGAGAAATAGGTTTTCACGTAAGTGATTTATCTGAAGTTTTTTTTTCCTGAATATCTGTTTGTGCCACGTACCGATAAGAAAGTTTTGTAAACCAGTCTTTTTAGTGAATGTTTAGATGCATTTTTAGCGAACGAGTGAAAATAGGTCTTTTTGTTGCCATTTGAAAATCAAGCAATGTTGTTGTCCGGAAGTTCAATATGGCGGACGCTTCAAGTGAAATAGTTCTTTCATGTCTTTATAGCTAAACCGGAAGAGGGCCTAAACGTCAAACGCCAAACGCCTAACCTAAATCTGTCGTTTGCGGTTTGCCGTAAACGCGAAAACCCTAGTGTTATTTCTTACAACTGGATTTTAGTCTCATTTTGTTCTTCTGTCAACAGAGAGGGAGGGATGGACATAAGTCTTTTTAAGCGTCTTTCTGAACGCCACCCTCACGCGGTGGTCAGCCTAGAGCACCAGTATCGAATGAATCAGGATATTATGGAGTTATCGAACACGCTCATCTACGAGCAAAGGCTGAAGTGCGGTACACAAGGCGTGGCAGGTGCAGTGTTAGAGCTGCCTGACTGGGACGAATTGGTCAGTTGTGTGAGGGGAAATACCGGCGGTGATGTTTCAGGTATGTGAAGTGGTTTTTAACCATGTTTTGGCTGTTCTTTGTATTCCTTCGGTCAACGATTTTAAGGTCAAACATTTTAAGGAATACAGCATAAAGATCGATTCACATCAATATAACTAATGAGCCGAATTTACATTTGCATTTTATTTGAAATAAATTTCCGTGTATTCAACTCGCCATTCCAGTTAGCAAGGCTGACCCAACAAAAAGAAAACAAAAGTCTCATCCATTACCGGCAGAGCAACTTTCAAAATCTCTCGAAAACTTTTTCTTTCCAGATAACTGGCTTCTAGATGCAGTCGTTCCTAGTCGACCAGTGGTTTTCCTAGACACGGACGGCGTCCCAGCTCCGGAGATGCGGTCGGAAAACTTAGTATCTAACGAGACGGAGGCTGTGTTAGTGCACCAGCTAGCTTGCGCACTTTTGAAAGGAGGTCTTCAGCCTTCGTCTCTAGGTATAATTTCTCCGTACAGGCATCAACTCAAGCTCATAACGCAAGTGTTTCACAGAGACAACAGTGGCAAGCAGAGTGAGATCGAAATTAACACGGTGGACAAATATCAGGGCCGAGACAAAGCGTGCATCATTGTATCATTAGTGCGAAGCAACGATCATTCCAACGTGGGTGATCTGCTGAGAGACTGGCGCCGAGTCAACGTGGCCGTGACACGTGCCAAGCAGAAATTGATTTTGATTGGTTCGCTCGTAACGCTGAAAGGCAGCTTGCTGTTACAAGAGCTTTTTGACCTGTTGGAGAGAAGAGACTGGGTGCAAGTTCTTCCTTACGATGCGCATAACCTGTACGATTTTGTAGCAAAACCGTCCCAGACCTCTCCGGTCAAGAGCTTGGAAGTTCAGAGAACTCGGTTCAAGGATCAAGGGAACTTGCCTGATATATGAGTTGGTTATTTCTCGTGATTGTTGTCACAGATTTGTTTCCTCATTCGCTGGTCGAATATTCATGAGGCATTTGTATACAAGATTCTCAAATTTTACACGTTAATAACAGAGTAAGTAATCACACGAAGTAGTGTTTAACTCGTAATATACCTTCACTAGTATTCTTTGCATGTTATTTGTTCTTGCGCAAAGAACCACGCGTCCTTCTCTCCCCTCTGTGGCTGACTTTAAAGGAGGGGAGTGGATATACTCTGGCTGAGAATGGTTTACTGCAAACTGAATTTTGGCCAGCACACTACAAATACAAAAGCAACTCACGTGAACTAGCTGCTGCAGCTTCTTTCGATCAGAATTTGGCTGCACGAACCTTGGTGTTCAGCAGGGATGTTGCTGAGGAGAACAGGTTACAGTTTCACGTGGGAAATTGGAGAGTGCTCGTGTTATTTCTTATTGGACAAACAGAAATGTAAACACTTGGGGATAAGGGTTGGTACAACTCCCTAGAATGTTCCCCCGACTGTACGTACTTATATGGACTAGGAAAACAAGCACCAATCAACTTCGTATCACAATACATTTTAATCACTATGCAATAATCGTTTATTTGCAAGCAACACCTCCCTATGTATCCTTTAGGCTCTTCAATTATTGATCACGCTAGTAGCACTTGCACTAAAAATCATAGATGACCCGAAAATTCTAATGAGAGTGACCTTAACAAAACGTCTCGTTCTTGAGATCGCAACAAAGAAAACCAACACAACTTTCATGGCTTCAAGACATAACATAACTTTGGTATTATTTAAAGCAATGTCATCAAAATAGCGTTCAACTGTAGTTTATTTATTATTATGATACAAAAAGTATAACTTGAAATGTTTTTTGCGATTTACTCGAGATCATACATATAGAAATGTTTTATTCTTGTATATATTCTACTTGCCATACACCCTAGTTTAAGGCACTGGTATCTGCTTTTTCATATCACATCTGGTTCGTGCAAAATTCATGTTTTACCGATTTTCAATTTTTTGGTTTGTCGTTTTCATGGAAACATCGATTACCTTGAGAAATACATTATACCAAACTTCAATTCATTTCCAATATTACAAGTGTAATTTTCATATCGATCCCATTAAGGGAAATCGACGTCTGTTAAAAAGCTGATTGGAAATGCTTTGTGTGGTCCAGAAAAAACTATCGAAACACCCTAACACATTTCAGTTTCAATCAACAACTATTAAAGTCGCTAGAAACTGAGAGAAATCAGATTGTTTTAGTTATATCCACAGATATCTTTAAAAAGTGATTTATTGCCAATTTTTCTGTTCTGTAATAATGCGGGGAAACCATTCGCGCATTTTTAGGATCATTGATCGACCGATCCAGAGGCACCTTCGTAGCCAAACGATTGCGAGTTTAATTGTTTATTTGGATTATGCTACAAAGTCACAGTGTGACACGAATGCTTACTAAGTACATTTTACTGCTGTTCGGAATCTTCAAGTGTGATAATCACTTTTCCATCGCCTTCTTTCACTCCCTCTTTCTTGACGGGGTTCCCTCCATTGTTGAAAGAGCCTCCCCCTCCGGCAATGGTTTTGCCGCTATTTTCCATAACGCCCCCTCCAGAATACCCACCCCCGGCACCAGGGAACTGAACTCCTCCGCCACCTCCCCCATATCCACCCTTTCCTCCGTTCAACGAATTTCCTCCTTCCCCTCCGTTTTCAAAACTCTTTCCCCCCGTGGCAAGTATGGCAGATTCACCGTCCCCGATTAAGCCACCTCCCGCTCC